CCTCTATCCCTAAGACTGTACAAAGGACTTGAAAAGCCTGCAAAAAACTCTAACTGTTTGGGTGCAACTGGCAAGAAGCCGAGTTGATGAAGTTCAAAAAATCACACTCAAACTGAGTGAAAGGAAGACAAACACGCAGGTCCCTGAAGAAACACTGGTAGACATAGAAATGGGGAGGGTCAGTAGACCTCCCCATGTACAGACCCTCACCGGCCTGACAAGGTTCAAGCTGGATCATCCGGGAAATGGAAGGGTCACAAATACGATGCGTCCTCCTAACCGCATTGACCTCAATAAATGACTGAAAGACGCTTGGGGTCTCCCCCACCTCGCGCCAGACCCAGTCATAGCCAGGGATACCTGGGACGAGGTCCTTAGGCGGAGGCGGATCTTTCTTTTCGGCGACAACCCCCCTGGCAGCCACTACCTTGCCACGCGCCTTGCCCCTACCTTTAGCAGGCGCGGAAGAACCAGCACTACCACTAGCCATTGAAAAACAGAAAGACTCGAAGAAGATTTGGGAAGAAAAAGAAAATCGTAGAAAAGAGGTACCTGGTACTCTTCCTCAGAAAATAACCCTAACAATGACCGGGTTATTGGAAACGGTGGCGAAAACAGTGAAAATGAAGATGGAGGACGAACAGAAGCAAGAAGGCAAGGAGAACTATTGTACTCGAGAAGCCAAAGAAAGGAAAAAAGTAAAGTGAATGGGAAGGGGCGCGAGAGAGAGAAAGAAAAGGTTCTCCCCCAATTTCAAAACGGTCGGGACACGTGTCGGCCAGGGGGCAGAACTGACGACACATCAAATGAACCCCATTATGGCAAATACGAACCATCATTGCATAACCGTCACTCCCATTAATGCGCCGCCTGCACATTCTCGAGAATGAAGCGACTTTCGCGCCACGCAGCACTTTAACAGGCAAACACACGCGAAAGGTCACTCCCCCCCCAACGAGCTCGGTCTTAACTCCTCGACCTACGGTCTTCGGAGCTCGGGGGGCTAGTGTACTATCCGTTCTGCGAATCCAGGTTCCGACCTTGGTACCACAGCACGAGCTGATCTCGGACACGCGCTACGTGACGTCAGCTCGGCACTTAAGTAGATCATAACTGATCTCAGGAGATCCCGGTCCAGGCGAGATCCACTATCTAATAAGATCATAACCGATCTCAGGCCCAAGGCCCAAGACAACCCTAATTCACACTAAGGTATGTGCATTACATATACGAGACATACACTCATACAAACCCTAACTTTAGCATCGGAGTCTCTTTTGCAGGTACCACCCCCATCTTGGAGCATCAACGTACCAGTGAAGGAGGCTCACCGATCTTACCCAGCGGATCATCCCTACCTCGGATTCCCGGTAAGAACAGAAGGTTTTGAAGCAACCCTCTCTCAAGTGAAGTTTTTACACTCGAGAATAAATTTGAGTGGCGTTTGATACTTCAAGGAAATTATTGATGGAGATCTTGTCAATCCTCCAAAGGATGAGTAGAGATACCCAATTAATATTTGTTTTATCATTAATACTTTGGTTAACTTGTTGTATAGTGTTTTGTTTTTCTCGACATGTAGCTGAATTATGAACAATTTTAAGTAAAAGAAATTGGATTTGATGTGCTAATGGTTGAAATTTGAAATTCATGTAGAAAAAGTAGTTTTATATGAATAAAGTGATAATCGTATAATTTGTGATATTGCCTTATGATTTCAATGTGTATACTTGGCTGATATCAAGTAACTTAAAAATATGTGTATGCTCGGTAAAATGTAATAGGATTGATTGCTTAACAAGTTTGCACATGTATTTCGCATCAATGATATGTACAATGGGAGAACACATTAATAATTAAAGATTTATATGGGTCAATTGTGTATCTAATGAGTAACTTGTCGAATATGTATGTATTATTTTTATTTATTAATTTATATGTTTATTTTTATTTTAATTTGTTGTTAAAGAATTTGGTAAGGTAGTATTGGCGTGTTACATGTTGAGCATTTACTTGGTACTCCACGTTGGGAGAAAACTTATCTCCAAGGTACATTTTGATGAATTTTCGATTCATGTAATTTTTGGGTTGTAGGTGTTACCCATAACACCGAACATAAAATCTCAAATGCCCTAATAAACACCCAACTATTGGAATGCAGCTGCGTCGGGGCAACATTCAAGACTCATAACATGTTAATCTCACATTCAGTCAATGGCCATTTTACTTTTAATTTGATTATCAAGGTTTCATAGCAAAAGGAAAATACTTCATTAGTTGAATGGGAACCAATACATAAAGCTTCTTTATCTACACAAGGCTCACATATTATATCTTCTTCCCTCCCTACTCGAGTGAAAACATATCGTTATATAATTACAAGTACGACATTTAGATTGTTTTTTTTAACATATCCGATTTTGTCCAAGGGTACAACTGACCATAATTCACAATTTCTTTCATTTTATAATTGTAAAGGGTCAATCTTTCTTCAATCACTAGGGATACTAATACATATTACTAATAAGGGAGAAGGGGGAGGGCCTACCTACAACTATTAGGAACTTTGGTTAGACAAAGGGGTTTCCACCACTATATGAAATGGCTAGATGATGCAAATACAAGCTTGTCGGAGGTCTATTCTTCAACAAATGAGCAACATAAAAGGTATAGTACAACCCACAAAATGCTTTATATTACTCCCTCAAATATTTATACTCATTAAGAGGTGCGTGAAATGGGAGGTGAAAGTATGACACGTTTTGAAGTATGACACGTGCCAAGTGTGGCAGCCTTTTAAACTCCCACCATGATGACTTGACATATGCATAAGATGTGATGCTTCAATGTAATGTTATACAACCCTAAGACTCTTCAGACTCTAGGGCTTAAGCCCGGAGGGCTGCATACCATCCAGCTCTCTAACCAATCAAACAAACCAATCTAAGACTCTTCACACTTTAGCACTCGAGCTTGGAGGGTTGTGTACCATCCAGCTCTTCAACCAACCAAACAAACTGACTTGAGACTCTTTGCACTCTGATGATTGATCTTGGAGGATTATGTATCATATCTAACTCTACAATCGATTGAATAAACCAATCTAAGACTCTTCGCACTTTAGCATTTGAGTCTGGTAGGCTGTGTACCATCCAACTCTCCAACCAACCAACCAAACCGACACAAGACTCTTCACACTCTGACATTTAAGCATGGAGGATTATGTACCATCCAACTCTCCAACTGAACGACTTGATCGAGCTTATACGTGCAACTCTTCTTTTGGTGGACTAAGCTTATACCATCCAACTCTCCAACCGACCAATTTGGCTAAGCTTATATGTATGACTCTTCTTTTGGCTAACTAAGTCGAGCCTATAGTTGATAATATGCTCCCAATCAAATTGGATCAAAGGAGTTGGCTATCCAGCGTCGTGTTTTCCCACATAGAGACGATTAATGAGCTCATTATACATATAATCTTTAGATCTCCAATTGACCGAATTGGCCAAGCAAAGGCTCTTTGCACCTTTAATGTTCAAGCACAAAGGGTTGTGTATCCTCCAAATCCCTATTCGACCCAGAAAATCGAATTCAAGGTCACTTGCAGGTTTCTTGTCGAGTGGGTTCTCTAAAACTAATTAGGATTTTCATTCTCATGATTATTGCACAGATTTGATTGCAATTATAGATGTGATTTATAGACTCATTATGAAAAATAATATTCATACATATTTCAAGGAATTGGGATCGAAGAAATATATATATATATATATATATATATATATATATCCTTAATATGACATCAATATATATATATAAAGGAAAAAGGACTTTACGAAAGTTAGGTTACACCCATTGAATAATTTTAGGTTAGGACAACGATTAGATTCTCTTAGAGTTCATATTACTAAGAGTTCTTAGGTTGCTATCCTTTTACCGGAACAGGTTCTAAGATGAACAACACCAAACTTTGAACATCAAACTGTTAAGTAAGGTAAAACAATATTTATGATAATTAATTAATCAATGTGTTGAATTATATCAATAGTTGAGTATTAGGACTAATTTTCCTTATAAGTTTGACAGATTTCGAATGAATGGATGTTTCCTTCAATTTGAATTTTATGCATGTATTCTCAAGAGTTAGAATTTAAACTTTAATCACTTAATTAAGAGACACTCCATTTAGATCAACTCAAGTTGGTAGTTACAAGTTAATATTTCATTAAATATTGTGGAATTTCCTGGCGGCTTGTTATAAAGTTTCAAGGGACAAACAAGGAAAGGAGGGCGGATTAGCAAATAAAAAGTATAGTAGCTAGAAGCCTAGGAGAGTAGATAGAATGAACGTTGAAAATGTTAAGAGATATCTATGCAAGATGAGACAGCCTAGGTCCTACACAAGGTGAGGCCCCCTTAAGTCAAGTGAAACCTGGTATGAAAACAACTTCAAAAAAAAAGTGCTGCTTGATCTGGGATATGAGGTCAGCTGTGACCATACATGCAAGCGACATCCCAAAGAAAAAAGATACAATAAATTTAGTTGACTGCCCAATTAGGTGTGAACGACTCAACACTTGTATATAACATATGAAGAATGAAAAAGCTCTGATTTTCAAAGGTTGCGGCATTTAGTGCTTCCAATGAGAAACCCATAGAATTTAAACCATTATACTATTATTTTCGTCATACTCATCCACTGATCCCAGTCTTCCTACTAAATTTTCTAATTCTCTTAATTTTAAACTTCCCTCACGTTTTCTATTCTCGTCTGTTTCTAGAAGATCATAACGCAAAATACAAGGCAACGTTGAAGAATTCTTAACACAAACAGTGGGAAAGCCAATGCATAATGATACTTCTGCGACATAGTTTCGATGTTCTGATTAGATTTTTTCTAGTGGTAGTTAGAGAAATATACCATTCAACTAAATATACAAGTATCTTATTTCGTTAGAAAATTAATATATCAATAGTAGTAGGACAATTGCAAAGAATCAATTATCAAATAAATGTCATTCAATAGTGTATACACTATCGTGGTATAATGAGATTTTACATGAAGATCCAATCACATATAATTCTATATGTTAACGTTAGATAATTGTGTAAAACATTTTACACCATTAATGCATGAAAATCAATTAAGCTCTAATTATAATGCCTAGTGTAAATTGAAAATGTGGCTCAAAAATCATGAGCAAGATACTGCTGCAAGAAGCTTATGTTTTCATCGGTCCACAAGTCTGCATCACCAAAGCCATTGGCTGGTTCAGATGCTTGGAGATCAGAGTAGTCCCACTGCTGCCATAGGGTGGAAGACATGGACCCCTTTTCTGCACAATCCATTGACAAGCTACCATCACCCATTAAATTGCAAGATGAAGTTGTACTTGTATCAGAGAGACCAACCCCTGATGAGTACGATGAAACCACAACTGAGTTGTCACAAAAGGTAATGGGCTTGGCCCCACTAGATTCATTTTGGGCCTTAGTGTTGCACAAGTTGGTTTTGTCGTGGGCATAGGAAGAAGAAGAAGAAGAAGAAGAAGCAGCCTGAATCCGCTCCATAAGGCGTGGCATCCAAACGAAACGCACAGCGTCTCTGAACTGTTTGCTGTTTACATCACATTTGAGTTGCTTAGCCTGCTTCACCACCCTCGTCCTCCAATAGTTCTTTATCTCATTGTCTGTTCTCCCGGGCAATTGTTCTGCTATTTTCGCCCACCTTCATTCAATTTTAATAACACATTCATTAAAACTATATAGTAAGTTAAATAATGCTATATATAGTACATACATAATAATATACGTACCGATTGCCCCAGCGAGAATGGAGGTCGAGAATCAAGAGCTGTTCTTGAAGGGTGATGTTCCCACGTCGAACATTTGGACGCAAGTAGTTCAACCATCTTAGTCTGCAGCTTTTGCCCGTTCTCTTTAGACCTGCAGTTCAAAACATTTAACACATAATTAATATGCCATGTTGCATGTTATGTATATGGGACGTGACGTGGTTAATAATTTTACCTGCAGAACGAGCGAGGGAGTTCCAGTGACCTTCACCGTGGACGTTGACATAGTTGATCAGAACGGAATCTTCTTCCTCTGTCCATGGCCCTTTCTTAATTGCCATCTCTTCTTCACTTCCATAGGAATCACTATCCGATAAACATCTCATAAATTGAACACTCATCGTCTCCATATTACAACACCTAATTCTTGTTTTGGTTTGGAATAAGAAGTAGGTAGTGATTTATATAGGGAGAGATTGGGTAAAGAGGGAGAATGGATTTAGGAGGATGAGCACTTTGAGGGTTGAATATTTGTCAAAGCTTAAAGATAAAGTTGGGGGCTGCGAAGGTTGTCCAATAGTTGCACTCTTGCTTGCAATTGTTAATTAAGTAAAGGAGTTAGGAGACATTAAATTAGATTTTGGTGGCAAGTTTTCGTGTTTTTCGTTTTGACCTTCAGACCCTTTGACTTTTCACACGCAAACAGAGTACGTTTACAAAATAATAACCATACTTTTCCATGGTGTCAAGTAGTCAGCGGGTTCTAACCCTCGGTCAGCATTGTGATTCCAAAATCCAAATACTTATTGTGCATTTGTTTGTGTTCCTCACTAGTTACCATTGAAGCTAAATGAATTCATCAGCAAAGAATAAGATAATCATTATTCCTATGCTAGCTTGCTGTAATTATTGGTGACAAAATGGGTTTGTACCTCTCTACACTTATCCTATAAAATATAAATTTTCAATTCAAACTAAATACATCTTCTTTTATCCCAATTCAATAAACTCCGTGTTATATTCAAATTTGGGCCGGGCTAGTTTTATTGGGTTTGAACTGCTAGCTACTTTTTTAAATTTTCTTGAGAGACAATTAGATGAAAGGTATATTTGAATAATTTTTTTATAAATATTTATAACAGAAAAAAATTAAGGAAAAAAAAATAAGTTTTTCATAAATTAAAATTAGATTATACATAATTTAATTTATTGAAACTGATTCATATTAACTTATTCAAAAATATGTTTTATAACTATGTATAAATTAATTTTAGCTAATAAATAAGCTTATTTCAATTTTTTTAAATTTATTTTCTTATAAGTGTTTATAGTTTAGGAGACTAAAATTAATTACTAATTCATTGTCCTAAACTTTCATTTTTTTTTTACAAAGTATTTGTTTGAAGTCACTTACAAAACGAAAATAAAAGGAAAAATAAAATAAATTTATCAAAAAGTAAAATTAGTTTATACATAAATTTATTTATACAAGTTGTATCATACTAGTTTCTTGAGAATTTTTACTCATGTATCTAAGTGAGTCTAAATAAAAATATGAATTTGAGGCGTTGAAAAAATAAATAAAACTTGAGTTTGGGTGTGAAAATTTCCCTTTAGCCTATTACTTGACTTGTGAAAATTTCCCTCTATTTTTTAAACTTTATTAATTCAGTATTTAATTAATATTTTGATCATGTGAAATTCTCCTCTATTTTTTATATGTTCACCTAAATTGTTTGAAAAATAATTTTCTGTTTTAAACAAAAAAAAAAAAAAACAGTTCTTGTTCCCTTCTTAAAAAATTACTTTTTAAAAATACTTCTTTTATAATCATTCTTTTTAATTTTAAAGCAACTGAGCCATATAATGAGTTTTTACGTTATTTTGTATATTTATTTATTCTTAAGTGATGATATGTATTTTATATATAAGAAAATCAACAATTTCAAATTGTAATAAAATTAAATACATATATAATAAAACCTTAAGTTAATTAAGATCTCAATAATTGATTTTAATTAATAATTATTAGTGTATTTAATTTTTTAATTTATACCTTTAGATGAGTCAAATCTTTATTTTACAATTTTAGAGGTGAAAATAATGAGGTCAAACTAGACTTTAATAGGTTAGAGTTTGACTTTTGTTAAAATAAAATAAAACTTTAATTTGTCTTATTTACTAAAGCTTTTTAAATTGTCTGACCCGATTTGGTCAGCATAAATTTTTTTGGCCTAACTTGTAACTCAAGATTATAATTTTGTGATAAGCGTATAAAAGGAGAAATAAACCTATTAGTCTAACTAGATTGTTCTAAAACAATTTTTTTAATAATTATATATTTTTGATAAGGCCTATAAAAGATATTTCCCGACAATTAATTATCATTAGAAGATATTTTTTTAATGTTTTATTATAATTACTAAAAGTAAAAATAAAAAATGTCTAAAAAGATCCATTTATTGGAAGAGCAAAGAATATTAAAGAAAAGAACAAGAATTCATCTCTGTTAGTGTTAGAGATGTAATAAATACTTTATGTTCATATTTCATTGTGAACTGATAATAAAATATTGCACTGTGTTCCTTCTGTAATAAAGCTGAAGTCATATCTTACAGAAGCAAATAATAAATAATTGAACTAAATATAAACATTCCTTACATATTATGTTTAAAATATATATACTAATGACATCAAGTTATGGATGCATTTAGGATCTAAAAAAGATTTTTTTCTCCAAAGTGTCCTATTTGACACCTAGCTAGTAGGAGGAAAAAAATTATAAATATCATAAGTAAAATAATTTGATAAAAAAAATAGAAAAATGTTAATTAAGTGTTTAAATTAAATTATTCGAAATTTCGAATATCATTGTTCTGCTGCATAAAGGACACTGGTATATAACTATATATCTGGGTGCTCAGGGCTGTCAAAGTAGGTATTATATCATCAGCAGTCACATCTCATATGTATTTTGCCAACCTAGGATCATAAATAACAATCATATGTAAGAGAAAGGACCAAAAAAAGATGACAAATTATAATTTTAAAAAATGAAATCAAGAAATAAAACCATAAGTAAACGATCCCAAGCTTTTTCTATCAAATGGGGAAAACAAGTATTTCGTTTTAAATTTTTTGTTTGGATGTACCTAAGGAAATTATGTTGACGTTCAAATTTGGTAGAAAGAGCAAGAGTTGGAGTATGGCAAACATTTATTAATTATCCTTAAACTTAACAAAGGTGTCACGTGCAAAAGGATAAGCCTTAAGTTTCCCACCAATTAATCTCCCTAAGACTCATCACTCGTGAGTATCTGAATTTGTGAAAGGCAGAGAGAAAATGACACCACTTGCATGCACACAACATCAAACAAGCAATCATCATCTCCTCCAGTTCAGAAGATATGGAAAGAAGAAACATAAAAACAACACAAGCCAGCAAAAATAAATAATAATAATAATAATAATAATAATAATAATTAGAAAACTATCCTCGAATGTGCCACGGGACCACTTCCATCTCTCTGCATGTCCTGTTCTGTTTTATATGCTTGTTCTTGTTTTTCATACCTAGAATAATACCATTACTATTTCGGAGAGGCAAATGTTTCTTGATAGCTTTTCCATTCACAAATCTGATAGCGTAGCTAAGAACGTGACAAAAAGAATTGCTTCTGTCTTAAATGATCTTAAAAATATCAATTATATCAAATTATTTACATAACTACAATAATGTATTTTTTGTTCTGATAGAAAAGAACTACGCATTAAAGAACTAATAAAATGGATTTGACCTCGCACATTCCATAATTAGTCATTCTTGTCAACTAAAACCAATAAAAAGCGACAAAGAATAGAAGCAAAAGCACGAGACTTATCTTAAGGAAGCAACACAATGACAATTATGGGAGAGACAAAAGAATGCAACAATACAACTATAGGAGATGAATTGGTTGAATCGCAAACCCTCTAGCTTAGTGGCATGGCAGCATGCGTTGCGAAAAAAAAAAAATAGTTCATCAATAAGAAAAATAATTAATGCAAAAGAGTGAAGGAAGAGAAAGACGAGTAGTGAAAGCGAGAAGGAAACTAGTTTATCTCATTTGAACGAAACTACAAAATTCAGATAGTCGAGAGCTCATAAGTAAAATAAAAAATTATTTAGCAACCATTTGATCAACAATAGAAACTTTTTGGCAGATGAAAGATTGACGAGAAATAGAGAAAAGATGCTCTAAGGAAAGGAAAACACGAGACATAATATTTTTGTTATAGTAAACAGATGACATGGGCAAATGATAGATGATGGTACAAAAAGTAAAGGAAGGGTGTTAATTAACAGGCCTCAGATAAATGGACACGTCAGTATCTGAATTAGATAATCAGCCAATGTCGGCAATATCAATGCATCACTGGCCTCAGTCTCACCCACCATAAAATATAACTCAAGTACGTGATCACATATAATCTCTTTGAGATAATTAGAAGAAAAAAAAATTAATGAAGAAGAGTAAAAGCTAGCTGCTGAAAAAGACGTTGGAGAACTGCACGAGCACAACCTCTGAATTTATAACAATGAGTCTTCCCTTGATGAGCAAGCAAAAAAATGAGACTTGTGGCAGCCTCCTGTACTTTTCAAACAAAATGGATATAAAGCCTTGTAGCAGCCTTGTATATTCCTGTCAACCAAAAGTCCAAATCGTGCCATGCACGAAATTTTTTTAATTAAAACTTATACCATAGATTGCAATTTATTACAACTAAAATATTTTATTTACTTTACACGTACACTCACAAACGGATCAATTTTGTAAATATTGATAATATATGGAGAGGGATCAAATAACTTCTTCAATTACTCTCACCTAAATCTTTTATATGTAAATACCTAGGACCTAACTCAATTAGTTCAGTAAAGTATTTGAGTTATTGTAAGTTTTTATTATTAGATTTGATCTTAATCAATAAAAAAATACGTAAATGGTAAATACATATTAATATTAGACAAAACTTTAAAAATCGATGATGCTTTAGGTCACACATAGTTGATGTCTTCAAAATTTAGAGGCGTGATAAATGTCCACTTCAGGTATAGATTAGGGTGTAAAGCGGAGATATAGGCTAATTAAAAATAAATATTGCAGGAAATAATAGATACAAACTAAAACTAAAATATTAATAAGAGTAAAAGAGAGAAATAGAAGGAAATTAAAAATGAAAAATATAATAAATAATATAATCATAAAAATATGAAGAAAATAAAATAGAAATGATATAAACAAAAAAAAAATAGACGAATACTTAAAAAATTTTGGTTAAAATCCTTATTTGGTCCCTTATAATATTTTTTTTTGTTTCAATTTAGTCCTAGTTTAATTTTTTGTTTTAATTTTGTCCTCAATAATTTAAATTATTACAATTTGGGACTTCCGTCCAAATTATTTAAATGGAGTTAAATGTTGGCCACGTGGATGTCACGTAGATGCACATGTGGATGCCAAATTTCATAAATACACCTGGAACTAGAACGGCCCGTTCTGAAACTAGAACAGCCCGTTCTGCTTGCACATATTATGTGTT